GGGGCCTGGCCGGGGGCCTGCGGGCTCGGCCGAGGTGCGGGCAGCGTGCGGGCACAGTGGGTGCACCTGTGGCCCGCCGCAGGGAGGGAGCCTGCAGGCTGCCAGGCTCCGCCTGTTGCGTCCCAGGAAAAGCAGCGTGGCCGAGCGCGGGGTGGATCTTAGGGCCCTCGGGTCCCCGAGACCCGGGGGTGCTTCTGCAAGAAACAGCATTTGTGGGTTGTAAGAATTTCCACCTATGCGATGAATTAGCTGTGAGTGGCCTCTTAAGGTTTTCTTAAGTGAAAAAGATTAAATAACCCAATTATGTTTTCTTCCCTCTGCAGGAGAACCAGCTAATTCTTTATTCAAAATATAAAGGAGTGTTTCTAATCGAGATTTATAAGATGGTCAAATATTTGGCATAACCAGAAAACTGAGAATCAAAGGTGAAAGACCTTGCCAGTTATTAACTCCGCAGACTATTACCTATGTGTCTAATTTAACTCACCGCATGGAGGCTGTAGGGGAGTATTCATCAGCTGCTATCAGAATCAAGTCATAAAGTTGGTTCTGCCTGCTGTTCCTATAGTAGCAATATTTAGAAATGCTGATTTCATGTGCATATGCGTGTCGCTGCTGTAAGAAGGGAAGAAACTGCTATCTTGAGTTGTCCTCACAAATCTCAGAAGTTGCTTTATGAGTGATGATCTGACTGTCTTCTCTCGACAGATGCACCCCGATGGTAAACAGCATCAAGTTTCTATGTGGAAACAAATGTACAGGTTGAATAATCAGCTCCCTACATGACTTCTTTTCGCAATGCACATTTTTTGCCTATACTTCTAATCTGACACTCTGCCAGAGGGACTTTTGAGAGTTTCACAGTATATTTTTACCACATAAACAGAGCTCATAATCATCACTGCTATTATGTCCTGGGTACAAGTTGCAGTCAGCCGATCCAGTGAGGATATATTTGATGAAGATGCAGATGAGATGTATCTACTACAGAAAGAATGGAACAGCACCATGAAAAAAAGATTGACGGTATTTCTATAACAATGATTTAATAATATTTTTAACCATTTTAGATTTAGTGATACATATCTTGATACACATTTGGCTGATTTAAAGGGGGAACACTGGGAGAGGCTGCTTAAAAGTTATTGTGGCTTAGTGTCTTCTGAATGTCAGGAAAATGTAGCAGAGATCTACAGAAGCTCTGTCCTAGTTGTCATCAGAGCAAAGTATTGTTTTACCAAAAGACATTGGCTCCCTCTGTACAACCATGTGCATTTGTAGAAGGCAGCGCTAAATTCTGATGCGAACTGTTTGCTTCGGACTTGTAGGTATACCATTAGTAAATGTAGGGCAGCACAGCTAAACAGTGCTACTAAAGAAATATGAGATGTTTGGCTTTTTAAGTAGAGCTCTTCATCAGTTGGATTTAAGATGTGTGACTCCATGTGGAACCACAATTGGACATTGCGGTCTGGGTAGTTCTTTGGCTTATTTATTCTCCTAGTGAAAAATACATTTTATGAAAGCTGGTTTCCACAGCCCTTGCCTCCCTGGAAATCTACAGGAGACAAGTACATAAACCCAGGTTACTTAAACAGATACATTATCATTCAGAGTGGGGCCAGTAGGGCTCGTCTGCTCACAGGAGAACAGCATTTGGCTGAAGAACATGAATGGAAGCTGTTATGTAGGCTGTTGATGAGGAAGGGTGCTGCAACAGAGCTGTTGTTGTATTCTCCAAGGAAAAGTTTCCTGCTTCTGAGTCCCTTGAAAAGACTGGCTTTCTTAAGGGACTGTTTAGTGTTCTTACACAAATTCCTCTGGTATTTTATGAGTAGATAGTGCAAAATCATAAAATGTTACTGAGGTTAGAGCTGTGTGTTGGGCAAAATAAAGACACATTCTTGTTCCTGGCTATTTATCTAGCAGGGTCACTAGTTTTCTTCTCTTATGAGCAAATTAAAGTTTTCTCTCTTAGAACTTGCAATTATTCTGTTATAGGGTAATGTGATCAGAATATAAAGAGGTTAATTTGCATTACAATCGTTAGCTGTTTCTTACAGAAAGGAATCACAATGTTATGTCTATTTATATGTGATTCACTCACCATCTTTTTTCTGGTGTAACTCTTTGAGTGAGATCTGGCAAACAGAGAAGCAAGGCTCGACAATTAGTTTTGTGAAAACAGGTAGATGGATTACAGACAGGAGAGTACCTCTGCTAAAGGGGAGGCTTTGGAATCTGTGTATTTTTACATGTCTGGAATTCTATGTGTGGTATTTTTTAAGAAATTTTTCATAAAGGAGTTGGTCATCATAGAAGTAAGCATGCTTTCCTGTAGATTTGTCTTATTTTTTGATGTTTCTAAAAATACTTTCCTTATTTTCTGACCTTCTGGGGATCCTTTTGGGAAAGTACTGGGACTTACAGATCAGTAAATCATAATGCACTGTAAAAAACATGTTTTGCTTTGGCAGTGGGGGTGCAGCTGGGAGGGATGTTCAAACCTAGAAGCTGTAATTTAAGAGACTGATTACTTGTTTAAACTTTTTTTATTGTTATGAAATTGCTGTAGGTCAAATTTTTCATCTTGTGAACAACCTGTTTCACTACTTTTATTATAGGAAGGCTATAGGGATGGAATTGAGGCTGGGAAAGAACTTGGACTCCAGGAAGGCTTTAATCAAGGTTACAGACACGGTGCTGAGCTGATGGTTACATGTGGCCAGTTCAAAGGAACCCTTAAGTAGGTTACAAACTCCTTAAGCTCATGTGCATGTGGGGGTGTGTATGGAGGGAGCATGCATGCAGTTTATTGTTTAATTTTTTCTAAAAAGTGCTCACTTTGGACAGCTTTACAATGCAACCTGAGAATTGTCAGGTCTTGAATACAGGGAACTGCCTACCTGGATGTACAGTGATCATTCTTAAAAATTCCCCTTCAGTTGCTCTTCCAGAATTATCTGAATCTACATCTTTAAGCTTAATATTCAGTTTTATTGCTTGAATTTCTCAGAAAATGTGAATGAAACATAAATACATTTATATAATATAGATATCTTGTCACATTGCTATCTCCCTTCAACAAATGGAGGTCTGTGTGGGTACGTGTAATCATGGGGGTTTTTGTCGTTCTTCACTTTTCAGTGCTCTTTTATCCTGGTGTCATTCTAATGGATGTGATTCTGCTTTAAGTAAGATAAATAATCTTCTTGATGTGGTTGGAAAGCATGAAGAAGATGTGCTTAAGTATCTGAACTCTACTGACCAACATCCACATCTCGGACACGTTTTAGATTCTGTTCAGGACATGGACCTTAATGACACAGCTCCATCTGGGACAGTGTACAGTGAAGTTAAAGCTGGAAAACACGAAGATGTTGACAGCTCTGGTGGAAACATTTGCGGAAATAATGGTGAGATTGGTTCCTTGCAGTCTGAGTGCAGCAAGGCAAAACTCTGCACAGATCCTGAAAGGACAACCCTTGCTTGGGTTAAAAAGCAGACTATTTGGCTAGTAGAACAACTGGGCTTATCACTGGATATACTCCATCACATCCAGCAACTGGAACATTAATTTTTCAGTCTCAGGGTATTTAAAATTATCTCAGCTGGATCTGATTCTCAGTTTGTGGACTATGTATAGGCATCACTTTGTTTTGGGAAAATCTGATTTTGATACTTCCCAGCAGAGGTAACTTCTGTAAATTTTCACCATGCTTTGGCTCCTGGAAAAAAAACCCTTTTGCTTTCAATCTTAAACATAACTTTCACAGAAAGGGAAAATTACTTTTAAAGCTCTACAAAGGTTTACTAAACATGTTTCTGTTCTGTGTCAGAAGCTATCACTTTCTCTTTTGGCAGCAGTTTGGAAATGGAGCAGGTCCCTTAAATAGCTCCTCCAAATAGGTCCCCTATAATATCTAAAAATTTAAAGCCCCGTGCTATGGACAATCTGTTCTTGCAGAATAAGGTGCTGCTGCTGCTATGCTAACTCTGTGCAAAATAGAACAGGATTTGCTGCTGACTTCTAGAGTGCTGTGACTCTCTCTAGTCACTATATAAAATACAGGAATTTTTCACCTTTTGTCAAATTCTTCCTCTTTTGTAACCACTATGCAGTGCACTTTCACAGTTAAAACCTCTTTTTTTCCTTCTCATACAGTTCTCTTTATTTCCCTTCTGCTGAAAATGCACCATTCCCTTCAAATGCAGAATTACTGACGATTCCACTGTTTTACTTTTAGACCATCTACTCTTACCTGTTAGAGCACACTGAACACGTTTCCAGTCTAATGAACTTCCTTTTGTTATTTATGTATTTATTTTTCCTGTCCCTCTAGCCTGAACTCTTTCTCTCATTCCCATAGTGATTTTTCCAAACTCTTCAAGGAAGCCAGGCTTATTCACCTTCCCTTAGAAACACGTTGTCAGCCACACATGCATTTTTCTGACAACTTTATATTTCTCTGCCAACATTCTATATTTGACTTCTTTTTGTGATGCTTGTCTTAACTGTAGCTGCAAATTACTCTGATCACAAAGTCTTTTCTTTGTGAATGCCTCTCTATCTGTGTTTTACACTAATTAAACTGATTTACACTAAGTTAGGAGTTTACTTGTTTTAAGTTGCTTGTAACTTTCCCTCATATCTGAGATAAAGCAGGTCTAGACAAACAAACACATTTTCAACAGCCAACTTTAAAGAAAAAAAAAAAAAGTTTAAATCACAAAACAGTTTTCTACTTTGGGACCAGAAAAAAGCTATGGTAAAAGTTACTTGATTTTCAGAGACTGAGTTTACAGTGTTCTTACTAAAGACTATTACCTTGGCATGGAGTTGGTAGACTCTTTAAATCTGGCTGCTGTTCAGTACCAGTTCTGCATTAGGGGAAAACAGAACTGCAGTTAAGTTGAACCTGTTTCTGAAATAGTGGGCAAATAGGCTGTCTGCATTAATTAACTATGTACAAAATTGTTCAAACAACTTTCTTTTTCTCAGTTTATTTAACATAATGTTGACATGGGTAGACATTAATTTTTTACAAGTGCATGTGTTATGTTATAGCCTGTATCACATATGTTAAACAAATTTTTTCCATACTGTGGTAGAATACGGTGCAGACAAAAATAAAGGTTACTAGAGCACTGTTAGACTTTCCAAATTTGGAAGTTTGAAAATGCAAATTCAAGAGTCTTCTTACATATTTAATAGTGTGCAAAGAGGAAACTCCATTCACAAATTACTAAGTAGACAGTGAGCTTGCCAATTTGTCTCCAACTACTGCAAAAGCAATCTACGCCAGGGGAAATACTACTTTCTTGTTTGATTATCAAACAACATATTGTGTGTTTTACTTATCTATCATAACAGCTTCCGTACTAGCTGTGGAATTACTTTCCTCCACTCAGCACAAAGTTTGTGCTTCCTGTGGGTTACTTTTTTCCACATTATCACCCAGAGTTTCCAGTTCAGCTGTGGAGAGAGATTCTTTTGGGCTACCTATAATACTTGGCTTATCTGTCACTACCAAATCTTGCTGACCAGCCACAGAAGGACTTTCTTCAAGTCTATTAGAATCCATAATTTGCTCACGTGGTGCTTCAGGTTTTTCTCTTGTGTCTGCTTCTGCTTCTTGTGTTTCACTATCAGCTTTCACCTTGGCAGCGTTCCTGAAAATAGCTCTCATGACAACAGGGACTGACATACAGCTGAAGGAGGAAATGAAACATTAGTCAACTACTACAGACTTCATCCATTCTTCAACATACTTATTTTCTTAAACAGTGTCTGACACCAGATGATACCTGTAATGAAAAATAGCTCTACCTTCTTGCATCTTTTTGCCTTGAACAACCTAGCAAGCATTACATTGTAACTACAGGATAACTACCTATGTTAGACCAGAAACATGGTGATACAATGAAATCAGGTGTTGGGTCTTTGAGCTTGGCTGGGCAAAGAAGCTTTGATAGAAGGAGTGGGAGGGTTTGGTCTAAAAAAAAAAAAAGTCACAAGGGTGCTTTTAATGAGAACCCAAACTAATATTATTGAAATATATTAATTCTTGCTGAGTTTTATAATTATAAAACTTTCACGTTTTGTGTAAGACAAATGCAGACCACATCTTCTCTAAAACACTGTCTAAAGGAGGTTTTTTTCCACTCTGACAATAGAATTACCTGGTTCTGGGAATAGTATCTAGTATCCTGTGATTTACGACAGGGCAGACTAATTAAACAGGTTCAGGATCCAGCTTGCATTGATCTTGCTGTCATCAAATAGATAATGGTTGTGTACTAGCTTGTGCCAAATTAATTAGTGCTCTCAGTACTTTCTCGAGCGTATGTTCATGTATCACAGCAACTTACCTCTCTTGGAATTTGTCTCAGAAAACAAGCCATATATAATATGCCACACTTTCTGAAAAGCACTGATTGGTATTAGATGTGGAAAAAGTCTCTTCCATGCTATTCTAATTAGACTAGTCATGAGACTTGTCATCAGCTAGAGTCTTCAGAAAAGCATGTTTACAAAAGAAAAAAGCATCTTTGTAAAAGATAAAACTCTCTTCATTCAAAAGTATCTCCCTACCCCACATGCTTTCAGTAGAAAGAAACACCCTCCATCACTATTAATGTTTAAAATTTTCAGAAGAGATACTGAAGACTAAAGTGACTTATTCTCACTATTATAACTTTTTAGAGAGTGATGTTTTCTGGTTGCTGAGTTTATGGCATTATGAATGCACATGATATTTCCATGAAATGGACATCTGAGGTTCATTCCAACTGTTATGAAATAAAACAGAATTACTTACCGCTTCACAGCTCTTGCTAGAAAGTCATCACTAGAATTTAGATTTGGATCTTGAGGGTTTAAATGAAGGTGACATTGAACTTCTCTGGAGGTTATCACATCAATTACCACTAAGAACAAAATATAAGTATTCCAGAATAAACATAAACACTGAAAACTAGCCTAATCATTCTGATGCTCCAAAAGAGGTAAGACTGAAGTCAATGGGAAGGGGCTTGCAGCAGTGCTCTTGCATAAGACTTGCTTCTTCCTAATATACTTAAATCATAAATGGTAGAAGTTACCATTTATTAATTAACTGCAGGCCAAGATGGAATCTGAATATTTGCATTTAATTTCTGTTTTATGCAGAACAGTTTTTAGTAAGCAGTGTATATACACAAGTGCTACTTAGTGTTTTTCATGGGTTACACGTCACTGAGAATAGCCCTTAGAATGTATTTGTAACCAAGAATCATCATGCAAGACCCCGTATAGTATCAAGTCCCTTGTCAGCCCAGTAAAAAGAACAATATCAGTTATTCCACACATACCACAGGATAAATTCTCTTTTATAGGATGGAGGAAGAAGACAGAAAAGCTGGTGTTCTTGTGTGGTACCACTTCGAAGTAAAGCAGTTCTGAGTCATCTAGAAATAAAATGACTGTTTAGTGATGTCCACCCATTGAACCTGGACTCTTTTTGGCTGAATTACATACCAGAATTCAGGAAAACACTGATAGAGTAGAATCTAATTATTCATTACTTTGGCAACTTAGTTTATGCTTATAGAAGTTTCAGGCCTAGGAGTTTTTTTGTTTTGTTTTGTTGTTTTTGTTTTTTTTTTTAATTTTTAGCAGTGTGCTACCAGAATTAAGGATTTTTTATCATTTAAGATACTCCACAAGTAATGACAGCTTTGACAAGGGAGCAGTAAATCTGTTAACACTCAGTTTAGAAGCTAGTTTCTCTCTAGTACTCTGCCATTACTTCCAACCACGCAATTTACCTTCCTTCATATGCTTCTCAGAGACACAGCTGCTAATAAGAGTGTTATATGCCACTTGATGTCGAAGAATCTCTATTACACCAGGCACACACTTTGGATGGCTAAATGGGATTTTACTGACCAAGGCTCCTGCTACATCTGATTTTTCTGATCCTTTGTTTATGAAGTAACAGTGCTTGGGGCAATCTGGAAGAGACTGAACAACAAATATAGTGATATTTCAAGCACTGAAAACAAAGTAAAGCTTGACGTTATCAGGCAACTGCACAATCTGACAACAAAAATAATTTTAGAAGACACGCTTCTAGCATGTCCATCATGTCTCTCTGTATTTCAGTAGAAATATAGTCCTTAGAGGAAGCTAAACGAGACTCACTCTCCCTCCCAAATTCATCCAAGTAGTCAGGATTTCAAGTGACACCGATTCTTCCAACTATTCTTAAGAGCCCCATAGAAGAAGAAAGATCTTTCAGAAGAACATCATAATAGTGATGCTTGACAGTTGTACAAATACAACAGCAGTTTTGCCTGAAATCTCTTTGGGGCATCATATGTTTGTCCTCCCTCCATCGCTGTTGCTTTCTTTGGAGAAGCATGTTTGGCTAGAATATCTCCCAGTGATTCATTTGAAGAGAAGAAGAGGAGATAGTAAGAAAAATTTACCACCTATCCATGTTGACAGTGATTCTGTGACAAAATTAGAAGTGCAATACTGCATTATCTACTTCAGGATGCCAAATGGGAACTGTCACCTTAAGAACAGGGCAGGGCAGTTAATTAGCAGGATCTACATTAAGAAAAGCTGAAGAGCAGAATAAAAGAGCTTTTCCTCCTGCGTTCATGGAGCAAAAGGGTTTCTTCTACATTCCTTTCAAAGTTAGAATTCAATTTAGTAATTTATTTCTAGAAAAAAAATCTTTAAACTTGGAAGGAAAATAATTTCTCAGCAAGTACTAATACTTTAGAGAGAAGAGTTACAGAGCCTTTTGTGTGTATCTAATGGAAATGAAAAATTCATCCCATCTGATGGGTTTTAAAGGGAAAAGCTTTGCTAAAGCTTATTTTAGCATCATGTAAATTTACTACTACCTTCTGTTCCATCACCTCAGTGTCCAAAAACTGTGTAAGCAATGGGCTCTGCTAACACTGCTGGTAGAAGAGAAAGAAGTGCCCTCTTTTGTTGCCATGAATTGCAAAATTAATGCTTCCTAGCAGAAAAAGTAGATCTTTGAAGTTGTCTGGCAGAAAACAGCCACCATTTTCTATTCTAAAACTTCTAATACATCATAGATTAAATCTTTTTTAATACAACAGTGATTAAAAAGGAAGCCATTCACAGTTAAACAACCATGCCTCTAGATAGTAATTGATATCACTGTTGTAACATTTTACACTTTCCTTCCTGCCAGTCCATTTAAAAGGAATCAGTATTCTCAGTGTTATCTAATCAAGAAATCTTTGTTAAAAGAGCGTGATATGCAGCATGACATGCAGCATGATAAAGACCTTCAAAACTCTAGGTAAGTACCTTCTTGAGATGTGCTTCTCACACTAGCCCAATAAGTTTCCTTCCTTTTAAGGCATTAATGATTAAGTTCTAAGTAATTTTTAGAAGAGTAAATATTTGGGTTACACACAGTCAAATTAGTATGATTTCAGCAGCCATGCACACAGTGTTTTACTTTCTTCAAAGGGTCTAATATTGTTTCATAAATATGGAACTATTATCTAAAGAACATTTAAATACTGTTGGTATTCTGGGAAGTCTGCATTGCTTACGTATGGGGAAATATAAATCATTATAATGTCTTGCACAAGGGCAGAGTGTGTATCAAATGCACACTATACTCACCACAAAGAAACAGGATTGATGTGTAGGCAAGTCTTCACTGCATTTTTCTTTAAGGGTAGACTGAATAATCAGCTCATATAGAGGAGCTAGATTCAAGCCAGTAATCTGAATTCCTGAAACCAAGTGATTTTTATTTTTTTTTTATTAGCATTTAGGTTATCACTGTATGTGACAGCTAATATTAAAAACCAAAACCAATGTTTTAAAAAGACAGAAACATTAATGTCCTTTCTTATTCACTCTTTTGCTAATGAGAATTTTTGGTAGAGTGTTTAAACAGCTTTACCTGTAACTGTCATATCTTTCTTAGAACTTTTGTGTTTTGCGTTGGTTGCTAAAATGTTACACTTGGGCTAATAGAACAGAACACATTCTGCCCTGAAAACTAGTTTTTCCTCTTACAACATTAACACAGGGAAATAAAAGCAAATAAGCAATGCATAGCCACGGAAGTACTTAGTCTTAAAAACAATTAAAACGTGCCTGTGAGCCTCTGTATCTCTTCAATACTGGATGAGAACATAGGAATAGGCTGGTGAAACTTCAACACAAAAAAAGCTGGCAAATCCATGCCGAGTTTATCAGTCAGTGGCAAAAAAGCAGGGTTGCTGGGGAAAGAAAAAAAAAAAAGTCAGAATGAAAGCTTGTTACAGAAATTGACATAACAAGGACTCTTAGTGCAAGGCCACTATCAAGCCTGTAGCAGTTTACTTCATTCCATACTTTCTCTGTCTTGAGAAATGTTTTGCTTTATAAATGCAACTATAGCTTTTAACATGTTAATGCAGAGTCTGGTAGAAAGGAAAAGTGAGCCCCCAGAAACTGAGGAGCACTGCACAAGGATGTCTGATATAAGTCATTCTATAGCAATTTATTTTGGAGAATGACTTCAGACTTTCCCTCCAGCCTAGCGTTGGAGTAGAGAGAGATGAGGTGTCAGTATCCATGGTGGGATGAAAAACTATTTTGTATAGTTAAGGTGTAATAGCCCTCAGTGCTATGCTTTATTTGCTTTATATATGCTTTATTTATTTTGAAACTATGCAGGAGTTGCTTGTTGAATACCTAGAAAGTTAAGTAATATTGTTCCAGTGACTCTTTCTGGTTTCAAATCTATGAATAAATTCATAGCTCAATGCAGTTGACACAGTTAAATATGAACACAGTAACTTTAATGTCCATTTGGGAAAACTCTAAAAGCCACAGGTTATAGAGGGTTTAGCTGTGGAGCATAATGCCATCAATAAAACAGAGCTTCCTGTTTTAGCAGAGGCTAGATGTAAGTTATGCTGAGGTTAGTGGCAATGACTAGTAAATTCATTTCTGCATTGAGGAGTGTCCAGAGTCTCACCCGTCTTCTCCAGTCTGAGAATCTACAAGCAGTGGAGAAAGAGGAAGTTTGTGGAGTGTATCTGTGTTTTCAACAGTTACAACTGTTTTTGTTCCACATACCTGGGAACCTGAGGGAGAAAGAGAAGTGCATTATTTTCCTCGTCTCAGTTTAGATTAATCCTACACATACAAAACACACAATGGTAAGGTCTTTTAAAGGTCAGGTCCAACTGACAGCCACAATGACTTGGGCAGCAAGAAGCCTGCACACACCACACTCAAAACGCTGAAGTTGGTCCATGGTGATAGCAGCAATAGCTGCTTTTGGGACACGCCATCAAACAGATCAAGCAGCCACCAGTCTCTTTCATGCCAGCTAGGCAGTTACTTTGTTTGATATCACTCTCTTTTCAGTTTGGGTCAACAGCCAAGAAACGGGCAAGTACTTTCCTGATGTACTTTATAATTGTACTAAACTAGAATTTTAAATCTTATTTCTGAGTTTCATTAATGAACTTTTATTTAATGGAACAGATAGTGCTAAAAAGTTATCTATCACATTAGTTATTTCTGCTTTTCTAGCTTTACCGGGATTTAGTTCTCCTTCCAAAACTTGATAGGGAGAAATGTAAAATTCAATGTTCATAGGAGTTGCTGAGGAATAAAAAAGAAGTGGTTACTACACATGTCAATAGATGAAATATGTTAGGCATCTTGACACAAAGGGGAAAAAAACAACAGTAGTGTAGATGGGCAGAAAGGGATTCCTCATATGATTATATCTCCAATTACAGTATATGTTCAAATCAGAGCACTTTCTTAGTCAGCATTTA